ACGACCGTGATCAGATCTTCAAAAATGGTCAGCCAAGCTCGACTCACTAGCTCTCCTGCTTTTCCTCCTGGTCGCTTCGTGTGTCAGGAATCGAACATCGAATGAATCATTGCACTACCATACATTAACTTAGCGACATTGCAAACTTGCAGTTGGTTGGATGAGCAGTTGCTATTGAATGGAAATCACAAGTCACTAAGACTGAACTCGGAAAGAGCACGAAAAGCGCCTGCCTTGGAGGGGGCTCTAGGCGAGGGAGGACCAGGGGGCTGCAAGATCGGATGCCTTGGATCAACACAGCGGTGGAAGGCGACCATGCATCATTGAAAACAAAATAATAACTAGGTCACGTCAGGCTGTTCGCCACTTGTTGCAAGAGGTCCGGGGATCCTTCACAGAAGTGTCCCGCTTCGCGGCTTCGACGTCTCCACGCCTCGACGCCTCAACGCCTCGACGCTTCGCGGCTTCGCGGCTTCGACGCAGCGATGCGCGCGTGCTTTTACCCGAACGCCCGTGGAATGGCGGTTCTACAACCAAAAAGAAAACTGGCTTGCGTTCCCTCCCCAAGCCTCTAACAAAGATTTACTTGCAGAGTGGTTTAACGTGCTTCATGATGTTTCACGTGCTTTGGTCTTGGTGTCAAAATGACCGATGTCTGTATGTTTCCGTAGCTGTAGCACTTCCAGTGACAACATTTACCAAGACGCCATGGAGTAGATCACACCCCAAATTGCGAAGGCATAAGGAGCCGGCCTGAGTTCGTTGCGAACTCCCACCGTGCCAGGCCCCCGGGTGATTCTGCTTGGTGGTTGAGGGTGTGTCAGGCTGCCAAAATTACAAATGCCGTGCCGTTTTAACTCTTCCTTGCCAGGCTCAGGAACCGCTCGCTCGGAGATCCACTTAGTCAGGATTTCGTTGCCCCAGCCATGACTTAGCTTGGTACGGAAATTAAGATGTCACAGATCTGATGGGAATTCCAAAGGACCAAAGACATCCAACGACTATACCCCACCTGCAGGCCTCAACATATCCTGAATCAGCCACTTGCAAACAACTGGATCACATTTTGAAGCGGATCCGCTTGAAGCGCCATTACTTCACGGTTTCAAGAGTCGAGGTCGTAAATCAGCCCTCAAGTCATCAGCCAATGTCCATCAAACAAAAGAAAACTCAACCAGACCTGGTTCCGTGTCCCTAGTTCCGTCTCCTCTTCACCAGACCTGGTTCCGTGGAACCACTGAAGGCTGTCTAACAAAGGCCGCTCGTGCATTCGATGTCGAAGGGCCAAAAAGGCCCACCGGCGTGCTGCGTACAGATCCAGCTACGCCTTGAAGATGTGTTTGCTGTACGCTGTACGGTGTTTTTGTTGACCCCCAAATAGATAGAAGTTCGTAGATCCCCACTAAAAATGTTTTGGAAACCGTGCCACTATCTATTTGGGGATCACTATACAGCACTAACAAGGCATCACTTGGGATTAGAACCATTCGATCGCGAAAACATTATACACAACGGCTCAGGACCTGGGAATCATAAGTCCTTAGGACTTGGGGATTTTGGACACCAAGAACTGTTCATTGGATCCCAAGAGTTTCAGATCCCAAGAGTGTAGGACTGGGAATATCAAACACCATATCCCAACCTATTAGGGCCCAGTGGATGATGCTTTAGGTTGCAGGCCCTTCTCGAAAAAATCGGAATCATCTTCTTCTCCGCCGTTCTTTTCTGGGACACGTGCTCCGCCCTATCGCTTCTTGCTCCTAATAGCGTTCTTGTTCCTAGTAGCGATGCCAGGAGCCCCGTGCGTAGCGTCTGCTCGCTCCGTTCGTAGCGACCCGTCGACCCATGGAACCGCTCCGGCAATGGCCGAGCGACGTGAGGTAGTTGGACCTCGGGTGTCCACCAGCGCAGGTGATCCGTGGAAGGTGGTCAGCGAGTATATGATGTGTATGCTGTATGTGTACATCATTTGTTTAGATTGAGTGTGATACATACAGAGGAATATAGAAAGAGTTCCCTTCCGGAACAGGAATTGAAATCCATACGTTTCTTGGAGTGCAACAAGAGTGTTTGGGTGTTTTGCCCCTGAACTAAAAGGTTGGAGGCTGAAGAAACAAAGCCCCCCGGATTCAGGTTGCTGATGGCGGCATTCCAAGAAGTCCAAGAAGGACACCCTTTGTTTACAAAAAACGATCACGTAAATTTAAAAATTAAGAATATACCAAAGTAGTTAGACTTGCACAAATCGTGGATAGACTTGCCTGTATCCAAGCCATTTCTCGGTACGCCAAAAGGACCATCCGATTCTGCGGTTCGGCAACCGCCACTGCGGTTGGCTTCTCCAGCAATCCAGCTTTTGATGGTGAGAAAGCGATCGATGGTAAACAATTCGCGGAGGTTTAAGGACTACATTGGAGAGTGCTACTTGGTGGTAAAGATCGAAGGCCACTCCAAATCTCCAAATCACCCCTAAGGTCTTATGAGGTCTAGGAACAATTGATTTGAAAACCACAACAACCAAAGTCCTATTGTTATTCCCACTGGCAGTCCGTCATAATTCCGTTATGATGACCTCTCTTGAAGATCTGAGGTCAATGTTTCTGACATTCCAGGTTTCATCAGATTCCCCCTTTTGGTTCCGTGGCTTACCAATTCACAGGTACATTCCCAGCTCCCATAGTAGTTCCAGAGCAGAGTTTTACAACTTTGCTTGTCGGCTTCCAAGGCCTAGACCTAGACTCTTCAAAGGCCTAGACCTGGAGCTGCAAAAAAGACCTTCGAATGAAAAACAAAAAACACTTTGGTTTGTTCTGCATGTCTTTCACGTACAACGCGACCCTCCACGCGACCCTGCACGCCAAGCCACGGTAGTGTTCCCGCCGCACTCCGGCTGTCGAGGCGCGGGAGGTTCTGTACCGCCCAGACGTTGCCGGCCTGAGAGGGACCATCCACCCTGGAAGACGTCGCAAGCAGGTGTACAATTTGTTTCAACCTCTTCAGGTGTTTGCCTCTTCAGGTGAAAATGCACTCGCGAGGTCAGAACATCCTCGGAAGGTCGAATGTCAGCGTTGATATCACCTTCTGAGATGTGAGCTCGTGGGTTTAATCGTTTCACAAGGAAGTAACATGATGGAAGCAAGCCAGAGAACATGACCGTTGTACTTCTCTGGTTGCACATGATCTGATCTCTGTTGATCTATATAGCCTCTTCAGTTTCCTTTCCTTAAGTTCATGCAGGAATGCCCCTACCAGGCAAAAAAAAGAAAACAAAATCCCGTGACATGCAATCCGAAATCGTCCACCCACCTGTTCTGGATGTCTTGGCTCCCCTACAAAGAAGCAAGCATTGGCCAGCTGCCACCCTTCTATCATGATGCCCAAGCAAACAATGTGCCGATGCGCGGGGGTCCGAAAATGCGCAGAAAATCGGCAGAAAACCTCGAAAGATTTGGAAGAGGAGCTGGCATCTTTGACGCCCTACCATGGTGACCTTCCTGCCATGTTTTAAAGAAGAATCGGCTGAACGTGAAGTCGGCCTAACTGTAGAACGAGCCGCTGGGAGATGACATCCCTATCTAGCTCTAGATAGCAAGGTGTCTCCTCTGGGGACAAACTTGATATTCGAGGATGGGGATGGCATTGTCTTGCCAAAAAAGATCGGCTTCTGGAGTGTTTCTTTCTGCAAGTTGCATTTTGATCAGTCAAATCACGCTTTCCATGGAGTTTTTGCGAAGGCGTGTGCTGAATGCCGACTCTCTCGTTCTCTTCTCTCGCTCGAGCCAACACTCCAGATCATCCAACGAAGTCCTGTCCTGCCCTCTTTGGTTTGCCAAAGTGGTCGCATATCGTTGATGGATGAAAGCTTTCAGGACTAGTGCTGTCCAAAACCTCTCGGTTGAGATGTCCAGTTTGCCAGCCAAGGAAGGGAAGTTTGCCACCGTGACGTGTCCTAGAATTCATCAGAATGTCGAAACTTGATGCATAACCCCCCCATTTTGGATGCGCTCACTTGCGGTCCTTCGCACCCAATGGACCGCCCCTTGTGTTGTTCTTCATATGGGGTGTCTGATTCATCAACAATCTATGTTATCAGCCCCAGGACCTTTGTGTAGCTGCTATCTCAGTCAGCGTGGAGGTACCTCGTCTCAGACTGATGGAGTGGATGAGAGACTCATCTTAGGGTCCACACATCGCTCCCGCCAACACGCGATGGCGGGTTGGGTGCGGGGATTCTACTTCTGTCTACCCCACAAAAGAACTCAATGGAAGTAGACGGCTCAAAGACAAAGACATGGCTACTCAATGGAAGAATGGAGAACTCAATGGGAGTCTACTTCTTCCGTCTGAAAAAGACGCCAAAGAGAAAGGTCATGGCTCAAATGGAATCCTAGCTTACCAGTAGTAACAAGAAGCTAACAGAAACAAGTGCCTTACTACTAATCCGCGGCTGCCCTGTTGGCGTTCCCCGAATCGGACGAATCGGTCCCACTACTGGCCGTAAACGTGAATATAATTGGTCAACCGGATAGGAATGATATCCCAAGGCATTGGGCATGTCATTTACACTCAGAACCACCTTATGCAATGAACTCTGGCAGCCCTGAGATGGCTGACTAGTGGCAAGTCAAGAAAATCCTTCACTCCCTTAAACAATCATGGAAGTGGTATATATGGCCCCATCGAACAAAAAAGGTGGCGGCCATCGAACTAAGACCAGTCGATTGTCGGAGACGTCCAACCCAGTGGCACCCGATGGGCTCAGCCGAGGCATCTCAGGTGATTCATTCGGGAAGTTCTTCCTGTCATCTTCCCGACGTGTCCCTCCCTGGTTGAGAAGCATCGAGAAACAGGTTCACCTGCCAGAAAAAATAGAGAGAGAAGGAGGATGCTTAGTCTTTGCACTACTATACGTTCCTGCTCGGTGGGGCCGAGCGGAAAACATTTGGAGTTCCACTTGGCTCTAGTTCATCCTAGTCCATCAACCACCTTGGCTTCCGTGCAAGAGGTTTTGCTTCTTGGAGAACCGTGCGGTGATCTTCGATTCAGCCTGAACCACCAGACCGATGCCACGAGTCTTTTCGCACCGGCACCGGCACTCACAAGTGGGAACATCGCCGGGGTGCCATCCAAACCCGCCAGTGGGATAGGAAAAACGCCAAAACATATAGGTTTGTGGATTGTATGTTGGGTCCACTGCAAAAAAAGCCTTGCAGTTGCAAATGTCTCATGTTAATGCCCCTCCCCATATTAGACTGAGCAGAAATCTCCGATGGTCAAGGTGGGTTGGGGACCGAAAGATTGCTGGGTCTGCTGATGATGATGATGATGATGATGATGATGATGATGGGCGGAGTTCTTCCCCAGGTCATGCAGTTTAGTAGTCTATATATACAATTCAGCTCTCGTCCTTCCCAGTGGGCTGGAACGTGCGAACGCAACAGGTTCCAACTTTCAAGTCTGTGGACTTCATGTCCATCCCCATCAACAGCAATACAAATTTGTCTGCCATAAACCTCTCTTTCATCCTAATAGCGATGGCCTCCAGCCTAGTTAGTAGCGATGGCCATGGCTTTTTTCACCAGGCAAACTCCAAGGCACCCTTTGGATCTTTGGTAAAGGGAGACCTATATATGTCTGGTCGCCTGCAGCTGGACGCACGACATCGCCTCGTCTGTAAAGCTTCGCGGCCATGACACACTCCGGTCGCCCTCAAGCCCGCTGATACGAAGCGCCTCAGGCGGCGATTTTCGGCGATGCGCTGCTCTAGGTGCTCCCCGTAATGATTCGCGAATTAACATCAAAGGGTATGGATGGGATTTTGATTATTGACATGGGTATACATGAGTTGATTGGATAAGATTGATGGGAATCCCCACGAATGCTTTGCTCTACTTGCTCCCTGACTTGGATGGCTGTGGATTTGCAGTGCTGCAGCCTCGCAGAAACGACGGGTTACGAGTCTGCCCCAAAGTAGAAGCATGTGGTCTAGGGAAAGCTTCCTGTATTTCTACGACATTCCGAGGACATTCCAAAGACCCCGCACAAGAGAGGGCTTCCAGTCAATTGGCTCTCATCACGGAATCTTAAAAAACGGCCAAGCAACCCATGATTGCTCCAGTTAAACCGAAACCGAAACCAGCACGCGCTTTTCCCTACTGAGGTGCACGTGTCTCCACGCACTCTCCGCACGTATCCCGCGCCGCGGGAACCGCGCCGCGGTGCACCGCAGATTCTCGCCTCCTTGGCGCAATCCAAGGTGAGCTCCGACGCCGACGCCGCCGCCAAGGTTAAGACCTGCCATCGCTGGCCATCGCATGGGAGTGGAGGGCAGGTGAGCTGAGTGTGGAAGGCCCAGTGGCCAGTGCCTGGCCACTTTTCCACTGTCTGGCTACAATGGTATGAATAGGTAGGAAGGTCCTGAGGAGCCTTCCAAAACGAATTCCAAAAGCTTGAATGTTAAATGATATTGAAATCCAATGGGTCCAAGGCTAAGACTGAGCTGATGGGGTTATAGTGTTCCATGATGTTCCATGATGGCTTCAACATGGGTTGTTCCACCATGACTGAAGATGTTTTGTGTGGTTTGACCTCCGGTGGTTCGACTGGAGGTTTGTTCCAAATCGAAGAAAAAAACACCAATGGTTCCCGCAAGGCCCTTACAAAGACCTCAGGAACGTGTTCATGGCCCTTGTGGTCGGAACAAAAAATAAACGCTTGGAGGATGCTTGAAACAGGCTGCTGCTTCAACCTCGTCCGGGTATGTTCCCTGTGCCAGGGAAACAAAAGAGGTTACAGAGGGAGACTTGGAGAGTGACTTGGAGATCATGAGTCCGGGTTGCCTGTGGAGGATTGACATGACATGATTCGCCTGCATCAACCAAAAAGAACTGCGCCATAGTGTTGGCTGCCACACAGCTACCCCAAAATCGTCCTCCTGACCAGTTCATGTCTGAGAATCCCCCCTCTTAGACAACTGGCTGTGGATCAAAACCCAAATATCCCTGCTTGGCCATTGAAAATGAACAGAGCCAGTCCGTCCGCCGACACCATAGCTTGTATAGGGTGAGGTTTGCTTCCCCACACCCGTCGTCCAAACCATGTCAGTCTCGCACCCCGAACGGTCGGACCCGGTTCCCTGGTTCACCGAACGGTCGGACGCCGTGCTGGGCGCACCCAGGAGTCACCTTGAAGCTCCCAAGCCTCGCAAAGCCACGCACCGGTGCGTGTGTTGCGGGGGGGGGTGAGGTTTGGTGAACTTCTGGGACTGCAGAATTGGGCACGGCTGATGCCACTGGGTCATTAAGATGCCACACAAGATGCCACTAATAAAACCTAAGGCCAGGTAAAATATGTCCTTCATCTAATTTCTTGAGGCATCCCAGATGTGGCCCTCTCTGAGAGCTCGTGATTTGGGCCACGTTCTCAGACGGAATGCTTTCACCATCATGGTCCCAGCCAACCGTCCTTGGGAAGAGGGCACCCGCCAAACTGCGACCTCCCTTTCAAAGTTCTATGTGAGCCACAGCAAACTGAAAAACGGGGTTTGGCTCAAAAACAAGCAGCATCGCAGCCTGGTCTTTGGGCCTTCACACACAGAGCGGATAATGATCATGCACAGCCGGCAAATGCCAGGACACCAGGATGTGAGAAAAACGTAAGAAGTTAAAGCTGCAAAGCAAAGAACACAACGAAGGTGAAATGTGATGTTAGAAAATCCCTAGAAACCGAGCGCTGTCAAACACGCAACGAACATTCTCTGCCTGCCTATCTCCCGTCCAACCATACATCATGGTCCCATTCTCAGCATCTTCCCTGACTTGATGCAACTATATGATTTGTCTTCTCAGTGTTGTTTCACCGCATGCATTGCAGGAAATGCATGCGGTGCCATACTGGAAGCAGTTCATCTCCGGTGCATTTTGGAGAGACCTCTGCAAGATGTGCAAAAGCTCGAAGACGGAGCACCAAGTCACAGCTACTCATCGTGGATGAAATAGACCCGCCATGAATGAATCCTTTGGGGAAGAATGATTTGATCCCAAAACAAAGACTTGACAGACCCTCTGGTGATCTGTCCCCAACAAGATATCAGCAATTGGTGCAAACCACATCAACGCAGAAAACCAAAAAAATGCGAGGAAAATGCAGCTCTTGATAGGCTGGTGATAGATTGCATTGCTACCAAAGCTTTGGGGTCCTGCTACTGCCTTGACGAGAACCCCATAGATTCAGTTCATCACCCGAAAACGGCTATTAAACCTATTAGCAAATATATACGGATGTTAAGGAACAAAGTCTTGAGCGATTCCAAGTGTTTAAAATCTTTTACACACTACATGCAGATTGCTTCTGTGGAGTTCCAAGGAGATCTTCTG